TGGGTGAGCTGGGCTGAGCTGGGCTGAGCCGGGCTGAGCCAGGCTGAGCTGGGCTGAGCTGAACCAGGCTGGGTGAGCTGGGCTGAGCTGGGCTGGGTGAGCTGAGCTGAGCTGAACTGGGCTGGATGAGCTGGGCTGAGCTGGGCTGGCCTGGGCTGGGCTGAACTGGGCTGAGCTGGGCTGGGCTAAGCTGGGCTGAGCTGGGCTGAGCTGAACCAGGCTTGGTGAGCTGGGCTGAGCTGAACCAGGCTAGGTGAGTTGGGCTGAGCTGAGCTGGGATGGGTAAGCTGAGCTGAGCTGGGCTGAGCTGAGCTGAGCTGGGCTGAGCCGGGCTGAGCTGGGCTGAGCTGAACCAGGCTGGGTGAGCTGGGCTGAGCTGGGCTGAGCCGGGCTGACCTGGGCTGAGCTGAACCGGGCTGGGTGAGCTGGGGTGAGCTGGGCTGCGCTAGGCTGAGCCGGGCTGAGCTGGGCTGAGCTGAACCAGGCTGGGTGAGCTGGGCTGAGCCGGGCTGATCTGGGCTGAGCTGAACCAGGCTGGGTGAGCTGGACTGAGCCGGGCTGAGCTGGGCTGAGCCGGGCTGATCTGGGCTGAGCTGAACCAGGCTGGGTGAGCTGGGCTGAGCTGAACTGGGCTGGGTGAGCTGGGTGAGTTGGGCTGAGCTAGGCTGAGCTGAGCTGGGTGAGCTGGATGAGTTGGGCTGAGCTGGGCTGAGCTAGGCTGAGCTGGGCTGGGTGAGCTGAGCTGAGCTGGGTGAGCTGAGCTGAGCTGGTGAGCTGGGCTGAGCTGGGCTGGGTGAGCTGAGCTGAGCTGAACTGGGCTGGGTGAGCTGGGCTGAGCTGGGCTGAGCTGGGCTGGCCTGGGCTGAGCTGGGCTGGCCTGGGCTGGGCTGAACTGGGCTGAGCTGGGCTGGGCTAAGCTGGGCTGAGCTGGGCTGAGCTGAACCAGGCTAGGTGAGTTGGGCTGAGCTGAGCTGGGCTGGGTAAGCTGAGCTGAGCTGGGCTGAGCTGGGCTAGGCTGGGCTGAGCCGGGCTGAGCTAGGCTGGGTGAGCTGAGCTGAGCTGGATAAGCTGGGCTGAACTGGGCTGAGCTGGGCTGAGGTGGACTGAGCTGAACCGGTCTGGGTGAGCTGGGCTGAGCTGAACCAGGCTGAGTGAGCTGAACCAGGCTAGATGAGCTGGGATAAGCTGGGTTGAATTGGGCTAAACTGGGCTGAGCTGGCCTGAGCTGGGCTGGGCTGAGCTGCACTGAGCTGGGCTGGGTGAGCTGAGCTGAGCGGGGTGAGCTGGCTTGAGCTGGCCTGAGCTGGGCTGAGCTGAACCGGGCTGGGTGAACTGAGCTGAGCTGGGCTGAGCTCAGCTAAACCAGGCTAGGCTGAGCTGGGCTGGGCTGAGCTGAACTGGGCTGAACTGGGCTGGGCTGGATGAGCTGGGCTGAACTGAACCAGGCTGGGTGAGATGAGCTGAGCTGGGCTGAGCTGGGCTGAACCAGGCTGAGCTGAACTGGGCTGAGCTGGGCTGAGCTGGACTGAGCTGATCTGAGCTGGACTGGACTGGACTGGGCTGGGCTGGGCTGGGTTGAGCTGAACCGGGCTGATCTGGGCTGGGCTGGGTGATCTGGGCTAAGCTAAACGGGGCTGGGTGAGATGAGCTGAGCTGGATGGAGCTGGGCTGAGCTCAGCTGAACTGGGCTGAGCTGAGCTGAGCTGAGCTAGGCTGGGCTGGGCTGAATTGGGCTGAGGTGGGCTGAACTAGACTGGGCTGGGTGGGGTGAGCTGAGCTGAGCTAGATGGAGCTAGGCTGAACCAGGCTGGGCTGAGCTGGCCTGGGTGAGCTGGGCTGAGCTGAATTGGGCTGGATGAGCTGAGCTGAATTGGGCTGAGGTAGGCTCAGGTGAGCTGAGCTGAGCTTGGCTAGGCTGGGCTGCACTGAATTGGGCTGAGTTGGGCTAGGCTTGGTACATTGAGCTGATTAGCCAGGGTCACTGAGCTATCCAGCAGAAATGGACTGGCTGAGCTAGCTTGGCTCAGAGGCGTTTGATGTCCTAGTTTGGGCTAGATTCACCTGCATTGGGCCATTTAGTTCTAGCTGGGCTGAGCTGGCCTTGCTGGACTGTCCTGACTAACATTGGTCTGACTTCAATGACCCGGTTGTGCTAAGAACAGGCCAAGGGGAGTCTGCATGGTCCGACTCTTCACATACATACCGTCCACTGACCCTAGACACACAGGCCAGGGCTGGGGGCCTGGCTGGGGGGCTCCTCTTGATGCCCTCAAACTGTGTCACAGACAGCTCATGGGGCTTGCGGCTGAGCGTACCAGTCTGACTCCAGTGTCTCAGAGGGAAGGCAGCACTGGTCGAGCCATCCTGAGCTGGGAGCCAGGGTACCAGAGTGCTCGAGGATAAGGCAGAGGCCATGTCTTTCCCCAGCTTCTCACAAGTGCAGAGCTGGGCTTTTGCGGCTGGGTGAGGGCTGCTGCACCTCCCTTTCCCAGCTAGACTCGGCCTCCGCCCAGCCGCCCGCTGCACTATTGGTCCCGGCTGGGGAGGCCGTGAGGCCAGCCCTTGTGGCAGTGGGGTGAGGGGGCCACGGGGCTGGCTCAGGCCTGCCTGGCAGAGCGTGGGAAGAAGACACCTTGTCACTCAACTCCTGTCCCTCTCTGGTCCTCAGAGAACCCATCCCCTCCAAACCTCTTCCCCCTCATCACCTGTGAGAGCTTCCCATCTGATGAGACCCTGGTGGCCATGGGCTGCCTGGCCCGGGACTTCCTGCCCAACTCCATCACCTTCTCCTGGAACTATCAGAACAGCAGTGAGGTCGGCAACCAGGACATCAAGAATTTCCCTTCGGTTCTGAGAGAGGGCAAGTACGTGGCTACCTCCCAGGTGTTCCTGCCCTCCGTGGACATCCTGCAGGGCTCTGATGAGTACCTCACATGCAAGGTCAAACACTCCAACGGTGACAAATCTGTGCAAGTGCGCCTCCCAGGTGAGAGCCAGGCCCTCCTACCCATGGCCAGGTGGGCAGGGTGAGGCCACGTGAGCTGACTGACGCCTTGTCCCCTCCCAGGAGTGAATGGAGAGCTGTCCCCCAACGTGACTGTCTTCATCCCGCCCCGCGATGCCTTCTCTGGCAACAGCCAGCGCACGTCCCAACTCCTCTGCCAGGCCAGAGGTTTCAGCCCCAAGCAGATCTCCGTGTCCTGGTTTCGTGATGGAAAGCAGATCGAGTCCGGCATCGACACCGGCAAGGTGGAGGCTGAGGACAAAGTGTCCGGGGCTGTGACCTACAGGGTCCTCAGCATGCTGACCATCACCGAGAGCGCCTGGCTCAGCCAGAGCGTGTTCACCTGCCAAGTGGAGCACAACGGAGTGATCTCTGAGAAGAACGTGTCCTCCACGTGCACCCCCAGTGAGTGCTCTGGCCCCTAGTGCAGCCCCTCAGGGTGGGGGTCCCTCACATGCACCACGGGGTTCCACGCAGGCCAGCAGCTCCCTGAGCCTTGGCCTCCCGGAGTGGCCAAGGCCAGGGAGGTGGGGGCCCAGCATGCCCCTCCAGTGGGTCCTTGGGGCTCAGGAAGGCTCGGTGTGAATTCAGCCAATGTTCTTTGGGGAAGATCTCCACCTCTGCCTGATTTCACATCCAACCGGTCACTGACACAAACTCTCTCCTGATCTAGATTCACCCGTCAGCATCAGCATCTTCACCATCCCCCCCTCCTTTGCTAGCATCTTCCTCACCAAGTCGGCCAAGCTGTCCTGCCTGGTCACAAACCTGGCCACCTACGACAGCCTGACCATCTCCTGGACCCGCCAGAATGGCGAGCCTCTGAAAACCCACACCAACATCTCTGAGAGCCACCCCAACATCACCTTCAGTGCCACGGGGGAGGCCACGGTTTGTGTGGAGGACTGGGAGTCAGGAGAACAGTTCACCTGCACGGTCACCCACACGGATCTGCCCTCGCCTCTGAAGAAGACCATCTCCAGGCCCAAGGGTAGGGGCCCGCGCCTCCTCTGCCCCGGGACTCTCCAGGGCCTCTGGGGTCTCTCCCCAGTGGCCCCCGGCCTGAGCTCACCACTGTCTTTCCTCCCACAGAGGTTGCCAAGCACATGCCAGCTGTGTATGTCCTGCCACCAAGCCGGGAGCAGCTCAGCCTGCGGGAGTCGGCCTCGGTTACCTGCCTGGTGAAGGGCTTCTCTCCCCCAGACGTGTTTGTGCAGTGGCTGCAGAAGGGGCAGCCCATGTCCCCCGACAGCTACGTGACCAGCGCCCCGACGCCCGAGCCGCAAGCCCACGGCCTCTACTTTGTCCACAGCACCCTGACCGTGAGCGAGGAGGACTGGAGCGCTGGGGAGACCTACACCTGTGTTGTAGGCCATGAGGCCCTGCCCCACATGGTGACCGAGAGGAGCGTGGACAAGTCCACCGGTAAACCCACCCTGTACAATGTGTCCCTGGTCTTGTCTGACACAGCCAGCACCTGCTACTGACCACCGGGCCGCCGCCCCCAGGTGGGCCCCGCAGCCTCTGGCTGACCCATCGCTGTGTGTGCGTGTGTACAAACTAACCTCGCCAATGGGGTGACATGTGGCATTTTATCAAAATTAGAAATAAAAACATCCATTCAAAAGACACTCGTCCTGAGTAAGCGATGCTCTCGCCTGCCGGGGCTGTGGCTGTGCTGTCCCCACCCCCAGACCACCCTCCACGCCCGTCCCTGCCCCCACCCAGCCTCTGGAAGTCCCTGTGCTCCTTGCAGACCAAGCCCATGCTCACCGCTCCTGTAGCTGCTCCCATGGCCACGTGAGTGTGCAACACGTACACACATGTGTGCACATGCATGCACACACATGGATGCAGCTGCATTAGACACACGGATACACACAGAGACATGTGTGTATGGACACACACACACATGCACACACAGTCACAGACACAGACACACGTGGCCACAGACACATGCACACATGGACACACATGCACACACACATGCACACACCCACACACGTGGACACATACAGACAGATGCACACATATATACACATGCACACACAGTCACAGACACAAACACACATGGCCACATACAGACACGTGCACACACGGACACACATGCACACACACGTG